AACTTGTCCCACTAATATTTTAGCCCTGAGAGATGGAAATATGAATAGCATATAATTTGTATACTGAGCTGTGGGAATACCAGTCTTCATAGTTAAATAGTTAAGTTCATAACTGAGTAGTTAACTTCTATCATAAGACAGTTTTGTGAGAACTCAACAATGATATATTTTGTCTATATTTGTTGTTTATGCCCTGACTTCTCATCATCAGTTGATGCAATTCCCCATTCCTTCTCTTTTATATCATGTACTGTCTTGTACTGGAAGGATGGACTTTTTGGTTTCATATACAAGAAAAAGAAACGTGTTCAGGAATGTCAACACCTCTGCCTGCTCTATAATTTGATTCAGAGAGGAGGGGTCCATATTTTATCTTTTCAATACTGAGCATCTTTTCAGTGAGGTTCTTATTCGAATAAATTCGATTAAGAGAGCAGCGGCACCGTGAGATTAAATGATATGATTGTTTGTCCCTTTCACTTCTTGTCTGATTGATGCTAAGCTTAATTTGGGAAGCCTTGATTTGGAAATAGTATATGCCAGAGTCATGACTGGGGGACCACTAGTTTAGTTTGTTCTCCAAGTGGGGAACTAGAAATGCACTTTGGTAACCAATATGCATAGTAAGTATGGATTTTTCTTCAAATTCCTAAGTATTAAACTGGTTCTGTTCCTTTTATCCTCAAAACAATTCTGGACAAGTATTACCACATTTGTGGTTTCTTTGCTTGTGTTGCTGCTTTCCCAACTAGTGTGGTCCCAGTTTACCTAGGTAAAAAAAATGCTAAGCAGATGACATAATATCTGTCAAGTTCAAAAGAGCTGCACAGGCTCCACCTGCAATTTCAGTCTTAGTTTTAGCAATTGAATTGTCTTCCTGATGGATATTCTAAGACTTATATGTCTCATGTTCTACTCCTTCTGGCTACAGCGCTTCTCAACTCTTGGAATCTCTTCCTCTTCCAAATGTAAGCATATATGTGTCCCCAATTATTTGTAAGCTTGAGGATTTGTATTTCCATTCACACATGCACATGTCACCACTTTGTACAACCTGTGAGTAAATTAACTTTTTAATATACAAATATGAAACAGATTAAGTGGATCTGCCCAACTGCTCCTACCCGTCCTGTGGCTATACTCGGTGGATTTCCTTGCACTGCCTGTAAGATTATGTTTAAATTAAAACTTTAGGTGATTCGATCGTAGAAGGTCATACCTCTACAGTTTATATTCTCATAAGGCAAGCTCTTGTAATGCTTTGGTGTTGAAAATAATCTTCTGAATTCTGTGATTCTTTATCAGGGTTTGAAATGGGAGAGCTTTCAGACGATGGTCCAGATGATTGGGAGAGTTTAGATGCTTCAGCAGCACATATTGCAAACTTGTTGTCAACTGAACCAGCTGATGGTACTTTCAAGGATAAACTACTTCAAAATGATTAACTTCCTCGGATTTTTTTTTCTTACACTTCTTACGAATCATCTTTGTTAAAACCTGCACAATATTTCAAGAAAATTTCCCAAACAACAAGAATTCCACCTTATAGCCAATCATCAAATTTTTGCAAACACATTCTAAATTTATTATAAGCTTCGCCACTTTGCCTTTTAACAGACCATCTGAAATCAAAGTTTCTATTTTTCATTTGCATGCTATGCTACTCCCTCTTCAGCTTTCAGGGTTAAGTCTAACACCATTTCATGTTTCCCAAAGTTAAGTTTAGCATCTTATACTATAGAATAGCAAATTCTGAGGCAAGAATTAAAGGATGTGTTATGTTGATTGTTTTTACTGCTGAAATTTGAATAGCCTATCACATTTTCTTGTGGCAGTTAAAGTCGGTATTGGAGGCTTTAGTATGGGTGCTGCGATGGCCCTTTATTCTGCAACTTGTTATGCTGCAGGTAGGTATGGAAATGGCAACCCATACCCTCTCAATCTGAGGGCAGTTGTTGGACTAAGCGGTTGGCTTCCAGGAGCAAGGTATGACTTCGTATAGAGCCTTCGTTAACCAACTCACTCTTGCAGTTAACGTTTTTCCTGAAACCTGTGAAAGAGATTAGTATTTGATGGCTTTGCCCAACTGTTTTCTTATAATGTTCCACCTGAAATACGAGTAAAACTAGATGGGCCTTTTTTATCTAATAATTGTAAACATTAAACATATGCATTTCCAGAACAGTCCATCTGGCATCTGCTCTATTTTTTATGGTACCTGTTGAACTGAGTATCAATATTCAAAGACTCCCATGTTTGATAGTTTAAAGGTTTGTGCAGGACCTTATGGAACAAAATTGAAGGGTCACATGAGGCTGCAAGGCGTGCCGCATCATTACCCATTTTGCAATGTCATGGAAAAAGTATGTCTCTGCATAACCTTTTGCCAATATGCATTTGCAAAAATTTGAAAGGTTTCTAAACCACTTGGTATGTCACACACCAGAAGCTAGTGTGTTGCACTGAAGAATTTTAACAATCAATATGTGAGACTCAATCCAGTTTTTATGGATAGTAGCATCTTTGTGGCTTTAATGACTGATAAGTCATAGAGGGTTGATAATTTATTTGGAGCTTCAGCTTAGCTTTCTGGTTCACTTGTACTTCTTGAAACTGATGTCTACTGGTGCAACAACATTATTAGCCAGGTAGAATTTGAAACCTTTGTAAAAAAGAGAAAATAGAATTTGAAATCTTGTTTAGAAAGATGTTAAAAAAGAATCATGCCCAAAACCCGGTTTTGCGTTACAATTCTTGCACATTTGCATAAATAATTTTCGGAACTATTCTCCATTGGGTTGTTGTACATTTTAGGTGGTTCTAAGATGATATGTTATGGTAACCAATATGTGAAGAAGTTATAAATCTTTGCTGGATTAGTGTAACCTCTTTGACCCTTTTATCCTTTTGTGCCATTGTAGATGATGATGTAGTCCCTTACAAATCCTTACATTCAAACCCCTTGATGGGTAAGGATTAATTTTCTATTAGCAAAATTATCTAGAACAATCTCTTCATATATTTATTGCTCTTGTTCGGGGTCAAATGTAATGGATGAAATTTAAGCAGATTTTTGGTTCGACTTTGCAGGCTTGGTCATTACACTATCCCTAAAGAGATGAATGAAGTCTCCAGTTGGCTATCTGCAAGGCTGGGGCTTGAGGGGTACCGCTCATAAATCTGACAGTGTCTAATTGGAGATAGTGAGGGAGTAGTAGCTAACAATAATGAGTGAGAAACGCCCCTGTACAAGTAGGTGCTATACAAAATGGGGCATGGAGTATATGGTATAGCTAAATTGACCTTTCTAATTCCCTTTCGTATTCTGTCTTTTCTACAAATAAAGTTTTGGGTGTGCTTTTATGTTCCACTTGGAGGATGTAGAGGTAGTGGTGATTTAGTTTTGGATGTATTTTGTTTTGGCATTCATTTATGTGATTTTATTATTAATAATTAGTGGAGTTCTTCTCTCTCTCTCTCTCTCTCTCTCTCTCTCTCTCTCTCTCTCTCTCTCTCTCTCTCTCTCATACTGAAAGTATACGTCTTGCTCATACTTAATAGTGGAGGAAGGATGCAGCAACATAGTAATTGTAAGTTTGCAACTCAGGTAAATGTCTACTCGGAATTATAAGAAAGGAAACTAAGATTGTTAGTTATTTGACTTCAAATACAACCATTTCATCTACTAAGGACATCTCCATTAAAAATTCCACCTTTGCAGTTTTCACCATGAGCATCCATAAAGCACGTCGGTTGAGGAACCGAACCAAAATTCTAACACCTGTGAAAGAAGCGCCAGTAAAGATTATAGACTTTATATATCTACAGGATTACAGTACAGAGACACCAAAAAGAAAAAAGAAAAAAGCTGCAAAATAATCCAAGGACTAAATCTTTAAATGACAATTACACTTGATATTACAAAACTTTTGCAATGGTATTACAATGAAGGCCAACAATTAGCACTGCCTTTTGCAATAAGGCTTACCAAACTTCTGGAAATACAGAAGCATTCTTTCACTGAGCTTGTAAAGTTGGAAGCAGATCGATAGATGGTGTCCTGCAGAAGACAGTTGTATGCAGATTTTCTACAATCAGATGTGAAAGCTATCTGAGTCATGCCTTGCCCAACTTCTTGTGTGTTGTCCAAATGTTCTTGTTGGCAGATTATTTATCATCATTCTCAATTTCATTAGTGCCTTCTTTGGAATTACGGTGCGGTGTAAGAGGAGGGAAAGAAGGCATAGCCTGCAAATTGAATTTGCGGCCACTTCTCAAGCCTGTTGGAGATCTTTCTCTTAACCGGGATTGGGATTGTGGAGGTGACACACGTTTCTGATTTGGTGAGCTAGCCTTTACAACCTTGGTGGGGTTAGAAGTTTCCTCGAGTATCTCAGGTGTATCATCATAGGGTATGTCATAATGTGCACCTGCACCATCAGAATTGAGATCATTGGGACCCTTGCCTTCAGATAATTCCGGGGTAACAATGACGGCTGAACAGCCCCAGTGAAAGTGGCCAGTACCTGATGGCTGAAGCTGACTTGATGGCAACTGGGCTTGTGGAATTTTTGCAGAGCTACTTGATGAAGCTGAAGAAAACGCTGCGCGTGAGCAAGGATGTGACAAAGGTGTAAGCTTGCTTATATCAGAAATTCCTTCCCATGTCGGTGAGTAATGAATGATACCCGGGGCCTTGATGCAAGCAATAGCACCCTTCACATTATCCAGCTTCTCAGCAGGGTGGGATGCCCACCTTTTAGCTCTGTTATATACTGGTTCTGTAATTGTAGCAACATGGAAAAGTAGGAAGTCCCTATCAGTGAAGGATTAAACGAACAAAAATGAAACCATCCTAATGAAATGTTAAATATTCGTTTCATAAAATTTAGCATTCTGTGAATGCTTTCGTGCATGCTTACTAACCTATTGAAAGCTCACTGATTGAAAGGAGCAAAATTTAATAGCACTGCATGTCTTAGTATATATATATATATATATATATATATATATCTATCTATATATATAGAGGGATTCCTCAAATAATTTTATTTGAGGGATACCCTTTAGGGTACCCTACGAATTTTTTTTCAACGATCCAAACTATCTATTTTTTAGGTCTTCACTCAAAGATCATCCTTGCAAAAAAATTAGAAAAATCGGAAACCGTTTAGATCTCATTGTGTCCTACAAAATCAATGAACACGGTGCTTCAAGAAAATACTAAAATTTCAATAAGTTAATCGAGTAGTTAAATGATATAGGATTCAAGTATTTTCATAGAGATGATCTGTGAATGAATATCTACAAAATAGATGGTTTGGATTAGTGATTTAGGGTCTGGATCGAGGGACACAAATTTTAGGGTGTTAGATTAGCACATTCAATGGTTCAGATTGCATCTATTATAATAATGAATTGTGATTACCACAACACATTCACATTTAATATTTTACATTCTCTCTCCTCTCTCGTTCCTAAATTATCGTGCCCTTCCTTTCATTGAGGGATCCCTTAAATAATTTTATCTGAAGGACACCCTTTAGGGTACCCTACGAATTTTTTTTCAACAATCCAAATTGTCTATTTTTCAAGTCTTCATTCATAGATCCTCGTTGCAAAAAATCAGAAAATTAAAAAATCATTACAGCATCTAATTGCTAGCAACAAAATAAATGAACACGATGTCTCAAGAAAAGACTAAAATAACAATAATCTATGTGTACTGCTGCTCGTTGAAGCACACGAGAACAAAAAGACAACTTAAAAATATTTTGAGGATTTCGAATTCTTAGGCACCTGTCAATGAATTTGTTGAAACAAAAATGTAAAACATTATAAAAGTGATTTCAAGCTGTATATTTGCTATTCATCAACTGAACTGTATGATAGCTGTGCAGTGACTTGATTTGCTAGCGGATAAAAAAGGGAGAAGCTGAAGAACAATTGCATCCGCAAAAGAAACTTCAGACGTCCGTATAAGAGAAATTTTGTATATATATATAAACATGTGTGTGTATAAAGTTCTGTTGTTTCATTTTCTTTGGTGCTGAAACACGGTGGTCATAGAAAATATATTTAAATTTATATTAAAAAATGAATAAATAAAGAACACAGAATCATTACAAACAAAGAGAACCATAACCTGGAGTAACGCCAAACGTATTTTTGCAACCCTCACATCGACACGCGCTGGAACATCCAACTTTAGCCTTGGGAAAGGAGCAAAAGAAAAAACAGATATGTCAAATCCAGATAAGTCGAGGACATATCAACACTAACCAACTTCCTAATCCAAATCTTTTCCAATGAACTTGTTACTTTTCTGACTCATTTAATTGAAATTATGAAAATCCATATCATGTTAATTTTAGAAATTCTATAATGTGTGTAACAGTTTGGGAGGGGGAACCAGAATTCTTTGAGAAACACCATTTTTCTGATATTACAAGCAGTAGATATAAATGTACATATAAACCTGGAAGCATTCACAGTATCTTTTCAGACACTTTGACTTCTTGCAATTGCAACCTCTCTTGTGCCTGGCCGAGGATGGGGTCGTCAAGTCCTGTTCTTCCTGTGGAGTTCTTATTCTCAAAATGCTTCCAAATGAGAGACATAAAAGAACAAGATATATACTTTGACAAGGATTACCGTAAAGTTGGGCGAAGAACCAATGGCATTGTCGACAACTTTTGGAGTAAATGCAAGTGGATTACGAGCTTCAATTTGCTGACGTATATCAAGAACTGTGTCCTCAAACTCAGGCTTGTTATAGCAGTTTACACATGCACAAGAATCCACACAATAAACGCCAGCTGCAAAGCACTCACAATAACTGCCAATGATGAAGAACAAGCTGAGACAAACTGCAAGAATGAATGGTGAATTGTATGTACTTATTTGTTCACAAGTTACCATGGGAAATTTGTTGTTTATAAGGTCAACTGAGATGCTTTTGCATCAAGGTTCTATAGGGAAATGGTTAACAAAAACTGAAGTCTAGAAGAACAATTGATAGTCCATTTTTCCTAATGTATGGTATGCATTCCAATGTTTCAAAACAAAAATGAGTGCTATTTGCTTGCATTCACTTACAGTTTCAAGCACTTAGACCTCCTACAGTTGCAACGTTTGCAGCCCTCACTCATGTATGCATCTCTCCTCCTAAATGCATTTCAAACAGCGTATTAGGTGAGCCATGTAAAAATAAAAATGAAGATTAATACACTGATAATGTTGTACTTGCCTTTTCCTTTTAGGGCTCAGTTGGTTTAACTCCTCAACCTCATCAGTCTCCTGTGAAGCAGACATACCCACCTCACAAGGAGCTGCCTCCTGGTCAACGAGCATAGAATGACATGGAGGCTTCATAGTATCCGTAGAATGAAAAGTGAAAGAATTAGCTTCAGTAACAGCTTGGCTTTCCTGCT